GGTGCAGGATGGGACCAGCAGGGGAGGGACGGGGTGGTTGGGGGGGCACGGCCCGGGGAGTCAGGGACGGGGCTGAGGGGACCTGGACTCCTCCTTCACCACCCCCGGGCCGCGGAGGCCCTTTCCCTCTCCCTGCAGCCGCCGTGGCCTACTCGAAACCGCGCTTGGCCACCTTTTGGTATTACGCTAAAGTGGAGCTGGCCCCACCGACACCTGCCGAGATCCCCCGGGCCATCGACAGCATGAAGGCCATGGTCAGGAGCTTCCAGAGCGGCCGCCTGGCCCAGCTCACCGTCAGGGTAAGAGCGTGAGAGCACCCTGGCTGTGTGTGTTGGGGGGAGCTTTAGTGCCCCATGCATTGTTTTTCCCAAGAGATCACCAGATCCCTGAGCAGATCTCCTGCTCCCTCCTACTTGCTCCCTGCAGAGAGCCCCAGTCGGGCTGCCTTTTTCTTCCTCTGATGTGTAGCAGTGAGCTCAACAATCTCACCGTTGGCTTCTGGGTTTTTTTTCCTTTCAGGAAGCGCTGAGGAACGGTCTGGTGGCCACAGAGGTGCTGATGTGGTTTTACATCGGGGAGATCATAGGCAAGGGTGGCCTGATCGGGTACAACGTCTGAAGGCTCCTGCTCAGCCATGGTGTCTGTGGGGCTGTGCCTGTAACAGGGGTTGTGACAATAAAACTGGGAACCCATGTCAAGCTGTCGTGGTCTTTTATGGGGGTTGGGGTTCACAGGGCATCGAGCACTGCTCCATGCAGTTCTGCTGGGTTTTATTGTCTTTGAAGATGGTTCCCAGGCAGTGTTGCTTCTTGTTGATGCTGGCATCATATCAGCTGCTCCTTTGCTCCTCCGGGCCTTGTTCAGCTGATCCCGTGGTCCCCTGGCAGCTGCACCTGCAGCACGGTCACTTCTCTCCTCCCTGCAGCAGAGCTGAGCCCCTCAACACATCACCCCAGCAAGAAGCCGCTTGGACTCCTGACAGGTAGCACAGGTGAGCTCACATGCTTTGTGTTTGGGGACAGCAATGGAAAGCTTTTTTGTTGTCAAAAAGAAGGGTTTCTGACCCAGCAGCTGTTGGTCACAGGTTGTGACCACGACACTGGTCACTTACCCAGGATAGATAGGGACATCAAGGTTAAAGTCTTGCTGGCTTCCCCAGGTGAGTGTGCAACAGGGGCAGTGACAGGACCTGGGCTTGCAGCTCCTGGCCACAACTTTATCCTGTGTCACTTCTCCCCATGCGCCTGTCCGGGTTTCTGCTTGGCATAGTCCTGGAAAACTTTTTATCTCTGGGACTTCCTGGGTGCTCCTGACCCTTCCTTTGCTGCTGATGACCTGGCAATTCCTCCCTCCCCTCTGAGGAGGTGATGCTTTCTTGCCAGGGACACTGGCAAATCTAATTTCATTCCTGTCTCCACAAACCCATTGTCCAGCAGATAAATAGCTGTGAGGAGAACCTGTCAGCCCCTTCACTGGGGGTCTGCAGCACTTAATGCTGAAAAAGAGGTGGACAGAAAGATCACACATGGGGTTTAAAGTGTGGTTTCGATTTTTAGAAGGTCTCTGGACCCAGGAGAGAGAGTCTGTGTGACCAGGCTCCAAGGCCTATGACTTGAGGCTACCTGCACATGCTGCTCTCTTGGACCAGATGCTCATGGGTCCAATCCACAGCTCATGGGCTGTGCTGCAGTTCACACAGTGGCACTGGGTCGTGGTGCCTGTCAGCCTTTCTGCACTGGCAGGATTGGGTTAAACTCAACCAGCAAAGCACAGGAGAGCTTGGAAAGGCTCCAGTCCATTTCAGGCTCCCTAGAGAGACAGAAATGGTCTAATTTTAATTTTCCTCCCTGGAAGGCCTTGTGAGAAGTCAGCCCTGCTCCCCATCCTTGCATCAAGCATGAACCAGCCATAAACCAAATCCAGAAGCATTTCTGTCCTCTGTAACATCACAGAAACTTTGGGTGTTTCTGTTAGGAGCAAACTGCCTTTCTCTCCTCCTCAGTCACTCTCTCCCTTCAGCTGATGAGCATCGGAATAAACAGGTATTTCGTGCTCCAGCAACAGCAGGGTTTTATAACTGACACCGGCGTTTGCAGTGTTGCTTTTCACAGGCAATACAGCAGGCACTTGCTGGACGCTAACCCTGCTCTTACTGTGCTGTACAAGATGGAGGCGAGCCTGCAGTGTGACACCGGGGACCAGCGGGAGCTGCCGGCCTAGTGCCATCGCTGTCACCTTCCCCCTGGAAATGGCACCGACCCTGCCCGCAAGGTGAGCGGGGCGAGGGCGGGAGGCGGGCGGGGCGAGCATCACCTCTGTGGTACCTCAGCACCTTCGCCCCTACCGGAGCGGCTGCTTTCTCCCCTCAGACAGCGGCGGGCTGGGCCTAGCGCCCCGCACCGGCCCGGGAGAAGGGCCGGGTGGGCAGACGGAGCGGGGGGCCGGCGGCCTGTCCGGGGCTGTGCGACCC